GAATGCAATAAGGATTGTGTAGTTGCCGTAGTCATGGGCCTGACCGTGACGGGGAGTGATACTAAACAGACATTTTTACATCTTAAGCTTCGAAATGTTAATTTTAATTATAAACAGTAAAAAAAAAATCAAATAGTTCGTTAATTTTTTTGGCGCCTTTGCATTTTTCATTGCGCATTTGTATCAAATTTAGTATTCATTGGTGTCAAATGCGCTTTAAGAGAAATTTAAGGCTCTTCCTTGTTCGATCATGAATGAATGTCGGTCGTAAATGGTACCAAAGGGGATCTGCTGCAAGGCGAGGGTCGCATACTCCTCTTTACCGTCCCGCAAATCCGCCACTGCTGAGGACAATGTTACATAAAATGCATCAAGACATCATTAAGATTTTTGAGTTACCAGTCAATTTTTCGAGGGCTAAATTTCTTTCGATTATCGAGCGGGTTATAGAGGTTTTGGCTTAATTTGATTTTGTTTCCCTCCATCAGGCTTACTTTGTTCCGTTTGCGTATTTGTCCTGGTATTCGGCACAGTAGTCGCGTTGTTCGTGAAGGAACTCGGAGGAACTGACAAAAAACACTATAGACAGAAACAGCAGTAGATTCAATGCCCAGCCCATTGCCTTGCTAAACAAAAAAGAGTCAAATAAGTTGAACGTGAGTTGAGGAGAAAAGTTCAAATCATACACGAGCTTTGTATTTTTACTATCGGCAAAATTTTCCTACAATTTTCATTATTTTTTTTTACTTTTTCTTTCACTTTTCCAAGTTTCAGAAAATGAATTAAGAGAAAACTACCCTGAAAATTGTAGCGACTGTTATATCGAAATTGTGGAAAATTTTTGGATCACTTCGTTCATTCGCGGGTGATATGTTAAAATAGGGGTTAACTTTGAGAAATATTTGAGTTGTGCATGTATCAAATTTGAGAACTCTTATGCATATTATTGTAGTTTCATTTTCAATCACTTGTACATGCAACTAATATTTTTATACTAAAACATATCTGCCAGATGAAATGTTGTTCAAAAAATGAATTTTTAAACTTCTTTTGCCAAAAAATTGAATTTATGAAGTAAATTATAAATCTTGTTCGAAGTATAACAAAGCAATCGAGCTATGTAACTTGAATTTAACACCTATTGAAATATATATCACCCATTCGCGATCAAATTTTGCAAAAACTTTAATTGACTAACTCCAAATAGATTTTGTCTTCTTACATGATATACATAAAATCAAAAAAATGAACTTATATTAGACTTCAAAAGTATTGGAGTGAAGAGCTGCAATATAGTCGACTGTTGGTATTTTTTTACCTTGTTTTCCTCCTTCTCATGTGTAGGAAACTGAGCACAAGTGGGTGTAGTATGAGCTGTTCATCTCGTTCCTCATGGGCACTACACAGTTCTGCCAGAGTACTAAACCGGGGTCTAAATCTGGCCAAGGGCGAGGCAAATATTGAAAACTCCAAGCTAACTATCAGCTCCGGATCTCGTTCGCTGAAACCTAAACAAAGCGATGAGATACGACTCGCTCCTTGGTCTAATTGCCTAATGTTCTGATTTCAACAATAAACCATCAATTTGTTTATGACAATGACAATAAACCATCAATTTTTGCACGTTTTTTTCGATTTCTCATTGTTGAACAGATCTTGAAAGCTAAAATTTTGATCTCATGAGTTTCAAGGTTCAGACTTTTATCCCGAGTTTTCACCGGCAGGAAAAAGTTTTTTTCAATTTATCAGCTTCCAAAAAGGCTCTTTTTCCTTTTCCCCCCACCAGCGAAATTTTATTAGTAAAATTTTGTTCACATGATCGGATTGTTACAAAAATTGGTATGCGGACTAATTAGGATAAGACAAATATATTTGGTCTCCATACTTAACCTTGTAAAACTCCTCGTTACAACATAAAATTGGTGTATATGTGAGGTGGGGGGGAAAAGGAAAAAGAGCCTCCAAAAAACATAAAAAGATTAAATTATTAACCAGAAAAATCAGGCAAAAAATTGTTGACGTGCATGTGAAACAACACAAAAAATGCAAAACTGTAACTTTTAAAAACTTACAAATCGACAGTTGGGTTTATTATTTAAAAACTTTCAAAGGATAAAAAATTTTAGGCAAAAACCAGAAGTGGACATGGCACAAAAAATTACTCAATGATCTATGCGTTCTCTGATTCGGATTACCCAGCAAAATCTGCGCAAAAACTTAACAGAAACTCATAAAAAGTTCATTCAATTGACACCCATAGATGGTAGTCCTAAAAAGTAAAGGCAAACATTGTGTTTTTTTTTTGGTGCAAAAATTGTCAAAACTGGCAAAAATTGTCAAAAATGTGATGACGGCCATTTTTTCTCTGATGAGTGTCAGGTTGTGGACAATAGTGATAATCAAGTTACGATTTGAAAATGAAAAGGTCAGCCACATTGCTTCTAGCAATGTGTTTCGAAAACGCAACAAAAAATTAGTGTATTGTTTGGGCGTGTAAAACTTTTCAAAACCTCCGGAGAAATCAGAAACTCCATGAGAAAAAACTCAGAAAAGTAATTAAACCTTTTTGAAAACGGTTTGCAACCAAATCTTGATTCATTTTATAGTGGTCTATACGTTTTCACGATAAAGCGACAGTTCACACGTCCAGACTTTCAGCAGTTTTTGCTTTGAATAAAGTAACCAGGACAACATGGCCGGCACAATCATCGGATTTGAATACCAGTGAGCGGAAAAAATCCATACTTTTTATACATGTTTTTTTTCTTTTTTTCCGCTTTTAGTTAATTTAAAAAAAGCAAGCAAAAAAACTATTTTTTTTTCGTTAATTTGCCCAAATAAAATTTTTTGTATTTTATACATGAACCGTAAACTGGAGTGATAAAAGCTTCTGCCAAATTTGTTCATGCGTGGAGCAAATCTTGTGGAATTGAAACAATTTTCAAAATTTTGGAGCAAAAACTGCGTTATTGTCGGAAAGTACAGATAGAAAACGGGTAAAATAAGTTGATTTATGCATTTATAAAACAAAAGTTTAAGGTTTTAATTTTTAGTTTTTCAAAGTTGTTTGGCCACCAAAAACGGACTAATACTTTTTCGACTGAATTTTTTTCCCGCTTCCTGTTGAACACTATCGAGAATTTATGATTTCAATTGCTTCAAATTTTTTCTCACTGTGCATTTTGCTGTTTGCAGACGCTATTATGGTACTTTTTCTTACATAAATTAATCTAGAATTAGTATAAGGAGGTTGCAAGATATGAAGTTTTTCAAAATTGAATATTTTCAAGTTTCGAGCTTCGAAAAGATTGAAAGCATAATTGTTTCTTGAACTTCACTAGAAGCTTTTGTAAATTGCTATTTTTATAAGCAGGAAAACTGGATCAATACGTAATTTTTCTATTCAACTGGTAAATTTTGAAATTATTATCCACTTATGAAATTAAAATCAGATTACTTCGCGCCTATTGCGTTTTTTTTTCTAATTGGAAAGCGTAAAATGCCTTCCACTAAAAAACTCAATCAAAACCAAACCAAAAAACAGTATAAACTTGTGCAAGAACAAATTTTTTTAAAAAGATTTATCTATAATTTTATAAGAAGTTTCAGAAAAAAAACATAACCAATCGAAGATTGAAAACAAATAATGAACGCAAGTGAACATAAAACGACTGGCTTGAAAAAAACTCAACTTTCGAAATTCAAAGAAAAAAAGCCTTTTAAGCTTTTTAAATTTGCCAGAACAATTTATGATTGGCCGCGTTCGTATTTGGAAAGCGCAGCTTATGTCATTTTCAGTAGATGCATTGCAATTGAACTCAAAAAGTGCATTACACCTAATTGCATCAATATTTTAAGGCTTTTTTCTGAAAAAACCAAGAAAAATCAGCAAGACCTATATAAGAGTCATCACTACGTTCATTACTCTTAACAACAACAAAAAATCAACACGACATGTATATTTAACTTCGCTTTGTTTATTGACACTTAAAACTTGGGTTGATGTTTATTTGACCATAATGAAAAAACTCAAGGATTGAACGTCAAACATTATAGCGAACTGGTATTTAAAAAAATGATGAACGCAAGAAAACAAAAAATACTGGAAAAAAAACGGATTTTAAATTTCAAATAAAAAAGATATGCTCTTAAGACTCTTTAATTTTCACGATAAAAATTATTCTGGTGCTTTTTTTACAAAATTAAATCAATTTGAGAAAACTGAATCAGCAGCAAAATTTCTTATTCCGCTGGAAAATCTGAACATTAAAATCTGTTTTGGAAACTAAAAATTGATCACATTTTTTGTTACTTTTACACTTTTGCTATTCGATAATGGAGTTTGAATTGATAAAAAAAAACAAATTTGAAACCGCGAAAAATCTAGTTTGAGCCTTACTGAAAAAAATTCATCAGGATCTACAAAAAGTTTTCACTACGTTTTCACTACGTTTTCACTAAGGTGAATTGTGCAGAAAAATAAACTGGAGCAGCAATTTTAATGTCGTTCTATTTAATTTTTAAAAAAGATTAGCTCTTTTATGCGAAGATTCGTCAAAAGGTTCTATGATAAAACAAACATCACCAATTACGGTGCATTTGAATTAAAATCTATAATATCCTCAAAATTCAGCCCCTGCCTACCAACCTCAGAGCACTATTTTAAATTCAATACAAAAAACAGATCAGTTAAATTGACTCACTATTATAACAACGCTATTATTATTTTCAAAACATGTAATTCTGTAAACTCCACTGATTACAGGGCACTAGTTCCAACTGCCATTTATCTCCTTCCAAACTTGAAATTTTTCATTTGTTTTCAAACATAGGTTTCGGATTGACTTTACGTTCCGAAAACAGTCTATGATTGGGTTTTGTTTTAGATATCAGGTCTGAATATGGCCAACGAAAACAATCGACTCCAAATTAAATAGCCCCAATACTACAAGGTCGAGAAAAAAACCTACGCATTAAATTATTAAGTTTGATCTGAAGCCTCAAAATCTCAAAGTAGAAGATATCAGTGCATTGATCGATTCTCCATTCGATCTGCCGATTGAAGACATGTAATGCATTCGGGATATGTCGTTAACTGACAAAGTTGCCTCGTGGACGAAGTTGTTCGTGATTGGGGGTCCGCTTTCTATCTTTTCGTCAATTAGCAGTTGCGGAGCTATTTCGTGGTAGTAAATTTGTGCCAACAACTTGTTTTTCCACATCCAGAAAATTGTCGGCACTCCAAATACGACAATCATGATACATTGAGCCAAACTGGCGATGTAAAAGGAAGTCTGATTATAGATGTAACCTCCAGTTAAAATTTGACCGCTCGTTATGCCTACCGAGAGCCAAAAGTTCAAAGCGGTAACGACGCCGATTTTGACGGTTTTCGGGTCGCGAACCCCAATTAAAATTGAGGCTTTTTCAGTTACTATATAACTGCCTGTGTAAGCACCGGCTATGCTGAATCCGAGAAAAATGAGAGCTGTGTAGAAAAAAGTTGTGCTGTGAGCCTTTGGGTAAACACTGGGCAGAAACAGAAGAAAATATCCAATTGCTGAAAAAACGATTGCAGAAGCGTAGAACTTTCCGCCAAATCCACGATCTATTAGTGTGCCCATGAATGCGCTGGCAACTGTGGTGACTCCGAAAATTGCGAAAAAGTATTTGGCATTGCCTTCCGAGCCGACATTGAATTCTTCCAGAAGAAAAGGTGCGAGGGCTACACTCATGAATCCGAGAGATGAATTAACAGTTGCAATCGGCAAACACGAAAGAACAATCGGAATCGAAATTAGGTAGCCAAAGTTTGAAATATATTTTGGCGGCAGCGGCAAATCAGTCGTTTCATCATCTGATTCAGAGGATGCCGAAATCCTCGAAAGGCGACCACCGGAAAACCGAGATCGTTCATCGGGTTCTAACTTTTTCTCCTCAATCACCGGAGTTTTCGTATCTTTTGATAGCGATGCGTAACTTGGAATCAGAAGTAAGCACAGGATTCCAATAAAAAGTTCGAGAGCTCCAGCAAAAATGAAAGGCCCAGAAAATCCGCCAAGCTCGAATAAATAATTGCCAAGAAATGGACCAATCATCTGACCTGCACCATAGGAAGACTCAATGAACCCCGCAACCAGGCCTTCGTTTTTAGGGTAAAATGAAGCGATGTTCGAGAAGCCAGTACCCCACGTACCGGCGCTGTAGAATCCAATCCAAATGCGACAGAGAGTAGACATCGTTGCAAAAATTGGTCCGCTGGGTCCGAACGTCAGTTGCGAGAAACAAAAAAGAGAAATTCCGATAACTAAGGCTCCAAAAGCGAAAAAGCATTTCTGGTTGAAAGCGTTGGCGGTTGTCATGACAACGAGACAGCCTACCAGACGAGCTAAATACTGGGCTCCGGTTGTAATACCAATCATTGACTGGTCCAGACCCTTTTTCTTGGCTTCTTCCGGGTAAAATGGGCCGTTTAGACTCATCTGGAAACCGTCCGCAAAAAACATTGCAATGCAAGCCGATACTCGAAGGAATACTAAAACTTTTCCGAAGTTCATTTTAGCAAGTGATTTCGCGACGAGCCGCGTTTTTAGCGAAACTTATATTTATCTGAAGCTCGAACAAACTTTTCCAATTTTAGTAAACTCGAATAATCAAGATGATGATTGCTCAAAATTTGATAAACTAGTTTTGTTGAACAGACTTGTGTGCAATTGTTTCCTCAAGAAATGTCACGTCGCTATTTGAACTGAATTAACCCTCACATATCAGCTTAAAAGTCGATGAAAATGCTATCACTAAAATCCATAATTGATATTCTGCTCTTTCATCTCAATGTAGCGCCAGATAACCAGAAATCAAGCAAATACAGGCCATATTTAAGTGTGGACTTATACCTTTTGCCAAAACTTCCAGCCCTTTGATAATTTATTTTATTTGAGACCAGGTTTATGCGATAAGAGTAATGAGACTACTTGTACGTTTGCCATTTAAGACCAGATTTGTGCGATAAGAGTAATAAGACTGTTTGAGCAAACGTACAAGTAGTCTCATTACTCTTATCGCATAAACCTGGTCTCAAATAAAAGTTTTCACCGGCAGGAAATAAAATTTTTTCCTGCCGGTGAAAACTCGGGATTCAGACTTTTATCCCGAGTTTTCACCGGCAGGAAAAAGTTTTTTTCAATTTATCAGCTTCCAAAAAGGCTCTTTTTCCTTTTCCCCCCACCAGCGAAATTTTATTAGTAAAACTTTGTTCACATGATCGGATTGTTACAAAAATTGGTATTCGGACTAATTAGGATAAGACAAATATATCTGGTCTCCATACTTAACCTTGTAAAACTCCTCGTTACAACATAAAATTGGTGTATTTGTGAGGTGGGGGGGAAAAGGAAAAAGAGCCTCCAAAAAACATAAAAAGATTAAATTATTAACCAGAAAAATCAGGCAAAAAATTGTTGACGTGCATGTGAAACAACACAAAAAATGCAAAACTGTAACTTTTAAAAACTTACAAATCGACAGTTGGGTTTATTATTTAAAAACTTTCAAAGGATAAAAAATTTTAGGCAAAAACCAGAAATGGACATGGCACAAAAAATTACTCAATGATCTACGCGTTCTCTGATTCGGATTACCCAGCAAAATCTGCGCAAAAACTTAACAGAAACTCATAAAAAGTTCATTCAATTGACACCCATAGATGGTAGTCCTAAAAAGTAAAGGCAAACATTGTGTTTTTTTTTTGGTGCAAAAATTGTCAAAACTGGCAAAAATTGTCAAAAATGTGATGACGGCCATTTTTTCTCTGATGAGTGTCAGGTTGTGGACAATAGTGAAAATCAAGTTACGATTTGAAAATGAAAAGGTCAGCCACATTGCTTCTAGCAATGTGTTTCGAAAACGCAACAAAAAATTAGTGTATTGTTTGGGCGTGTAAAACTTTTCAAAACCTCCGGAGAAATCAGAAACTCCATGAGAAAAAACTCAGAAAAGTAATTAAACCTTTTTGAAAACGGTTTGCAACCAAATCTTGATTCATTTTATAGTGGTCTATACGTTTTCACGATAAAGCGACAGTTCACACGTCCAGACTTTCAGCAGTTTTTGCTTTGAATAAAGTAACCAGGGCAACATGGCCGGCACAATCATCGGATTTGAATACCAGTGAGCGGAAAAAATCCATACTTTTTATACATGTTTTTTTTCTTTTTTTTCCGCTTTTAGTTAATTTAAAAAAAGCAAGCAAAAAAACTATTTTTTTTTCGTTAATTTGCCCAAATAAAATTTTTTGTATTTTATACATGAACCGTAAACTGGAGTGATAAAAGCTTCTGCCAAATTTGTTCATGCGTGGAGCAAATCTTGTTGAATTGAAACAATTTTCAAAATTTTGGAGCAAAAACTGCGTTATTGTCGGAAAGTACAGATAGAAAACGGGTAAAATAAGTTGATTTATGCATTTATAAAACAAAAGTTTAAGGTTTTAATTTTTAGTTTTTCAAAGTTGTTTGGCCACCAAAAACGGACTAATACTTTTTCGACTGAATTTTTTTCCCGCTTCCTGTTGAACACTATCGAGAATTTATGATTTCAATTGCTTCAAATTTTTTCTCACTGTGCATTTTGCTGTTTGCAGACGCTATTATGGTACTTTTTCTTACATAAATTAATCTAGAATTAGTATAAGGAGGTTGCAAGATATGAAGCTTTTCAAAATTGAATATTTTCAAGTTTCGAGCTTCGAAAAGATTGAAAGCATAATTGTTTCTTGAACTTCACTAGAAGCTTTTGTAAATTGCTATTTTTATAAGCAGGAAAACTGGATCAATACGTAATTTTTCTATTCAACTGGTAAATTTTGAAATTATTATCCACTTATGAAATTAAAATCAGATTACTTCGCGCCTATTGCGTTTTTTTTTCTAATTGGAAAGCGTAAAATGCCTTCCACTAAAAAACTCAATCAAAACCAAACCAAAAAACAGTATAAACTTGTGCAAGAACAAATTTTTTTAAAAAGATTTATCTATAATTTTATAAGAAGTTTCAGAAAAAAAACATAACCAATCGAAGATTGAAAACAAATAATGAACGCAAGTGAACATAAAACGACTGGCTTGAAAAAAACTCAACTTTCGAAATTCAAAGAAAAAAAGCCTTTTAAGCTTTTTAAATTTGCCAGAACAATTTATGATTGGCCGCGTTCGTATTTGGAAAGCGCAGCTTATGTCATTTTCAGTAGATGCATTGCAATTGAACTCAAAAAGTGCATTACACCTAATTGCATCAATATTTTAAGGCTTTTTTCTGAAAAAACCAAGAAAAATCAGCAAGACCTATATAAGAGTCATCACTACGTTCATTACTCTTAACAACAACAAAAAATCAACACGACATGTATATTTAACTTCGCTTTGTTTATTGACACTTAAAACTTGGGTTGATGTTTATTTGACCATAATGAAAAAACTCAAGGATTGAACGTCAAACATTATAGCGAACTGGTATTTAAAAAAATGATGAACGCAAGAAAACAAAAAATACTGGAAAAAAAACGGATTTTAAATTTCAAATAAAAAAGATATGCTCTTAAGACTCTTTAATTTTCACGATAAAAATTATGCTGGTGCTTTTTTTACAAAATTAAATCAATTTGAGAAAACTGAATCAGCAGCAAAATTTCTTATTCCGCTGGAAAATCTGAACATTAAAATCTGTTTTGGAAACTAAAAATTGATCACATTTTTTGTTACTTTTACACTTTTGCTATTCGATAATGGAGTTTGAATTGATAAAAAAAAACAAATTTGAAACCGCGAAAAATCTAGTTTGAGCCTTACTGAAAAAAATTCATCAGGATCTACAAAAAGTTTTCACTACGTTCGTCGTCTCTTATCATTTTAGACCAAAAAATGTTTCAATTTGTAAGTTTTGAATGATAAAAAGGTGAATTGTGCAGAAAAATAAACTGGAGCAGCAATTTTAATGTCGTTCTATTTAGTTTTTAAAAAAGATTAGCTCTTTTATGCGAAGATTCGTCAAAAGGTTCTATGATAAAACAAACATCACCAAATACGGTGCATTTGAATTAAAATCTATAATATCCTCAAAATTCAGCCCCTGCCTACCAACCTCAGAGCACTATTTTAAATTCAATACAAAAAACAGATCAGTTAAATTGACTCACTATTATATAACGCTATTATTATTTTCAAAACATGTAATTCTGTAAACTCCACTGATTACAGGGCACTAGTTCCAACTGCCATTTATCTCCTTCCAAACTTGAAGTTTTTCATTTGTTTTCAAACATAGGTTTCGGATTGACTTTACGTTCCGAAAACAGTCTATGATTGGGTTTTGTTTTAGATATCAGGTCTGAATATGGCCAACGAAAACAATCGACTCCAAATTAAATAGCCCCAATACTACAAGGTCGAGAAAAAAACCTACGCATTAAATTATTAAGTTTGATCTGAAGCCTCAAAATCTCAAAGTAGAAGATATCAGTGCATTGATCGATTCTCCATTCGATCTGCCGATTGAAGACATGTAATGCATTCGGGATATGTCGTTAACTGACAAAGTTGCCTCGTGGACGAAGTTGTTCGTGATTGGGGGTCCGCTTTCTATCTTTTCGTCAATTAGCAGTTGCGGAGCTATTTCGTGGTAGTAAATTTGTGCCAACAACTTGTTTTTCCACATCCAGAAAATTGTCGGCACTCCAAATACGACAATCATGATACATTGAGCCAAACTGGCGATGTAAAAGGAAGTCTGATTATAGATGTAACCTCCAGTTAAAATTTGACCGCTCGTTATGCCTACCGAGAGCCAAAAGTTCAAAGCGGTAACGACGCCGATTTTGACGGTTTTCGGGTCGCGAACCCCAATTAAAATTGAGGCTTTTTCAGTTACTATATAACTGCCTGTGTAAGCACCGGCTATGCTGAATCCGAGAAAAATGAGAGCTGTGTAGAAAAAAGTTGTGCTGTGAGCCTTTGGGTAAACACTGGGCAGAAACAGAAGAAAATATCCAATTGCTGAAAAAACGATTGCAGAAGCGTAGAACTTTCCGCCAAATCCACGATCTATTAGTGTGCCCATGAATGCGCTGGCAACTGTGGTGACTCCGAAAATTGCGAAAAAGTATTTGGCATTGCCTTCCGAGCCGACATTGAATTCTTCCAGAAGAAAAGGTGCGAGGGCTACACTCATGAATCCGAGAGATGAATTAACAGTTGCAATCGGCAAACACGAAAGAACAATCGGAATCGAAATTAGGTAGCCAAAGTTTGAAATATATTTTGGCGGCAGCGGCAAATCAGTCGTTTCATCATCTGATTCAGAGGATGCCGAAATCCTCGAAAGGCGACCACCGGAAAACCGAGATCGTTCATCGGGTTCTAACTTTTTCTCCTCAATCACCGGAGTTTTCGTATCTTTTGATAGCGATGCGTAACTTGGAATCAGAAGTAAGCACAGGATTCCAATAAAAAGT